CGCCCGCCCCGCAACCCGCCCGCGCCCAGCGCCCCCGCCGCCCGCCGCCGCGCGCCGGCTCCTCGCTCTCCGCGCAGAACGTGATCGGTTCTATCCCTCGTCAGCTCTATGAATGAATGCTACACAATGATGCACTCGGTGAACACGATCATTAGGTAACTCTACGGCGATAATACTGATACACGAACTTACACGGAAAATGTCGTACATCAGACAATTCACATGTCGTTATCGTAAGTCTCGACCAGAGCGCAGGTTTACGCGCGGTAACAGCGCAGGTTCAGCGGGGGGTCAGTTGCCTCCGTCGCTGTCAGATAACATCTAGATAAGTGCCACTTGCGCAGGAAGTGAACCCTTGTGTAGACAATGCGTAGGTATGTGCTAACTGCTGGGGCTCTAAGCAGCAGCAGCAAGGTGAGCCGTTCGAGCGTCTGTCGACCTTTCATCACAGAGTCCAAGTCTTTCGATGCATCACATCACTCAGGGTACAGTATTGCACACTGTACGTACGTAATCAAGTAAATCGATCAGGACTTAGCAACAGTTACCTACACTTCATTGTTTCATTAATACTGTTTTAAGGGAGGCAGCTAATTAGGTTTCCTACAGATAATCAGTATATTATGACATATTGATTTAGCGAAGTAAAGTTGTGTGGCTATTGACACCCCATGTTAGCGCAGAGATCCCGCACCGAGCGAGTGCTATGCTACGACCTACGACCGCGCGGCCCTCTACGGCTACAGCGTAGCAAGCGACTACGCGCGGCGCCACAGTCCGCCGCTACAAGGCTACACAGACCGCGCTGGCGCTCGCTACGCGCTGCTACCGCGTAGCTCGTAGGTCGTAGCACCGAGGCATCGCTGCCGGCGCGCGGTATCGATTCAACGCTTGACGATCATGAAACATATAGTGAGTACTTGCACATTTATTTATTTGTTGTCATCTCGTGTACACAATTACACACACGGACTCATTTTTCACTGTTTGTTGTCACCACGAAGGTGTGTCTAATGAGTACATAAGTAATTAACTGAATTTTGACTATCTCCTTTTTATGCAAAAAGTATTCAAAAACGCATTTGGAAAACGACGAGCTTACTTACTATACGAGTAAATATATAAATTGGTACCTAAGGGTACCCACATACTGCGCTGTATATCGTCCACTACTTACACGAAGGGTTTATTGACCAATTTTGTTCACCAACCTGTTGAAAGGGTGCATTTGTCACTAGACGTGTTTAATTTTTTAACCATTCGAATAGTCTCTAAGCGGCCCCGGAGTCTGGTACAGACAGAACCGGGTTGTTTAAGGTATCTGTAATTAGTTATGGTGTGGGACACGCCGGTGTGACCCCGCGGCCCTGCGCCCTCGCGCCCCCGCGCCCCCGCGCCTCTTTGCCCCCGCCCGCCCCACGCCGGAACGATTAATGACGAAGCCTCTTTGTTTCCGGAACAACACGCAACGCCGCGCGGTGTATGCTGCGTGGCTACACTGACTAGACCGACCGCCATCGCGTCCCAGCACACGGCATCCGCTGACTCACGTACTTAGGTACATGCTGAGTCGAGTCGAAGCATACCTAATTACCTATACTATTCCAATAATATAATCATTGCCGATGTTCATTTGTATTTACGAAGGTACCTACAGTTCAACTTGTAATTTGATTGTATTCTCCGTTTGTATCATTTTGTACCAAACCGTAGGCACGTAATAGTTCCTGGAAACATAAATGAGGCAATAGGTTTACATAGAGCAGCGCGAGCAGGCGGCGGCGGGCGGCGGGCGGCGGGCACGTAGGCGGAGGCAGACAGCGAGCGCGGCCCGGGTCAATACCGGGCAGTGAATGGAAGCGGCGGGCGGCGGCCGCCGGGGGGCGCCGGGCGATCGATGGGCGGCGGGTGGCGTCAGTCGCGGCCGGCGCGCCGCGCGGTGCTGAGGTGTCGCCCCCGCGCCGACGCGCGCGGCGCCCGCACCTGAGCCGCGCCTGACGCCCCCTCGCGATCGATACGCGCCCGCGCTACTCCTACCATCGCGCCGACTGCGACGTCGGATCGATAACTTTAGCTTGCACTCTATCGGAACGTACCGATTCTTGACCCCAAATTAACAAAGGCTAAATACTAAAGGCACGACTTACATCATATTAGTTGACCGCTCGGTGGCGAGCTGCGGCATGCCAGCACTGTGTAGGTGGGACGGTCGCACAGGTTCATTCAGTGGGAGCCGGCAGCCTGTACCTGTGGCACGAGCACAACACGCGCCCCCCACCCGCCCTCCGCCCTCGTCCTCGCACCCCCCGCATGTTAAGTATTAGAATGTCAGTTAGGTTCTGTGGCTCAGTAGTTTCACTGCTCAGTTTGGTAAGTACATGTTAGGGTCCATCAACAGAAGGGACCGGTTCGCAGTCCAAGTGGTTCAGCGACCAGCCTGTGACCGCGGGGAGTGCGGCGGGCGGGGGTGCGGGGCGCGGGGGCGCGGTGCAGCTGCAGGAGAGGGAGGGCCATGGGGCTGACACCTCGTGCCACCGACTGTCCCTCGACGTGCGCCCGGCACCCGGCGCCCGGCGTCCGTACGTACGGCGTTGTCGCCACGCATTGCCCGAACCGGAACCGACTTCTCATGTTTCTACCAAAAGTTGCTGGTATATGCGAGTAAACAAGCTGGAACATTTATATTTGAAGACACTGTGGAGCTTACATGTCACTAGGGACTAAAAGATGTCTCAGACTCAAGTTATGTCTGAACTCATTATAGTTTTGTAGGTATAGTTCAAGATTATTTAAAGATAATTAAACATTTACATTATGTTAGTTGCCCATTCATGGAAGGAAGTTTATATTTCAAGTAAGTAGGGAGGGACCTATTTCCTTCAGTCACATTTTTTTTTTAATTCTCAACATTATAACCCAGCCAGTGTCGCGGGCGACGCGGATGGTTCGTTTGCTGCACTATCACATAAAATGATATGGTATACTTATTGCCTACAGTGTCTACAGTGTTTGTATGTTTTTATGGGATTAGCCGGTAAACGAGCAGACGGATCACCTGAATGGAAGCAATCGGCGTCGCCCTGCGACACCCGGAACACTAGAGGAGTTACAAGTGCGTTACCGGCCTTTTGAGGATTAGGAATTTGAGGATTGTTGGGGTTTCAGAGATTGGAAAGATTGGGGAGGGGAGCAATTGGGCCTCCGGTAACCTCACTCACACGACGAAACACAACGTAAGCGTAGTTTCACGTCGGTTTTCTGTTAGGCCGTGGTAATACTCCGGTCGAGCCGGCCCATTCGTAATTGTTGTATTCACAGAGACACGATATTATAAAAAAAATATTTACAATTATTTGTTAATTTTAATACTTAATATGTAAGAACAAAACAATAAACTACTTAGTTAAAAAGCCAACTACTTCTTACTACCTCATGTTTTTTTTAATAATAGTGTTGGATAATATACTGAAACCTGCTCCTAAGTTTAACAAACACTTGACTGAAAACCGCATCAAAAGCGAATCAGCCAATCGCGTACAAATATACACACATACATACTCACAGAGGTAACACTGTTACTCCCTTTTTGCAGTCGGTTCAAACTATTCATTCGCACGTAAATCAAGACTCATAGGTACAGTGGGCACAATAATATTGTGTATGTATGTAAAGTAGCCTATGTGTTATTTCCGACCATACCTATGCTCATACATACATATACAGGAGTAGTATATACTACTCCTGTATAAAATGTATATAGGTATATTTTTTTTATTTTTTTCCGTAATAGGTACCTTCTCCTAATAAACAAATAAAACAAAAAAAAAATGTGAAATCGGTTCAGTCACGCGTGATGCCGTGACCAAGGGAAAAAGGGATTCATTTTTATTTACTTATATAGATTTACTAGCGACCCGCCCCGGCTTCGCACGTGTGTAATATGTATGTATTATACGTATAAACCTTCCTTAAGAGTCACTCTATATATAAAAAAAAAAGATAAGTGCGTGGCGGGATGAGCTCCGGCGCGATCTCATGGCGGAATGGCAGCAGCGACTGTCGCAACCGAGGGCTGGGCTCGCTGCCATCGCAGCGGTAAGTCCCCTCTTTGAGGAGTGGCTTGAGAGACGCTACGGCGTCCTCACCTACCGCCTGACGCAGGTCCTCACCGGACATGGAAGTTTCGGGAGGTACCTGTGTCTGATGGGGCGGGAGGAAACGCCCGGGTGTCATCACTGCGAGGACCGCCCTGAGGACACGGTGGAACACACGGTGGGAGAATGCCCTTCGTGGGCTGAGCACCGCCGTGTCCTCAGGGAAGTGATCGGCGATGGCGACCTCTCGCGTCCGGGCCTAGTGCAGGCCATGATGCGGAGCGAGGGGGATTGGGATGCCGTCTCCTCCTTTTGCGAAGCAGTCATGCTAGCTAAGGAGGAGGCGGGACGCGTGAGGCAGCGAAGCGCTGCCTCCTCGCAACCCAGCCATCGCGAAGGACACACCGGGCGTCGGGGATCGCGGGACGATCTCCGGCCACCGTAAGCGCGGGCCTGCGGACGGCGAGCATGGGTGGCTCCCCGTCCGACCAGAAACAGACCCGAGCGTACGGCGCGTCGCGTTCCGCGCGCGCCTCAAAGAGCCATCAGACCACCACAGATGGGGCCCAATAGGGCCGATGCCGATTCGGAGTCGCGGAGAACCTAACGGGTAACCGGGGCTCCGGCTCGACGTGCAGGAGAAGGAGCGGGGTGGTTTTTAGTCAGTAAGAGTCTGACACTCCCTCCCGCCTCACCCAGGCGGGTGCAGTCATACGATGATTTTACCCCCTTAAAAAAAAAAATCTATAAAGAAAAACCGCCTCAAAATCCGTTGCGTAGTTTTAGAGATCTAAGCATACATACACAAGACAGACAGACGGCGGATAACGACTTTGTTTTATACATGTAGTGATTGATAGATTCATTGCTTGATTTATTTCATCGTTATTACAATTTCACCCCTTTCCTGACGAGTTATGGATCTGATATTTAGTATACACTGACTTTCATTTGACCTCTAAATAACATCAAATAGTGGTCTGATTTGACTATTATCAGAAACAATACCTAAATGCATCGAGATAGTAGTTTTAACTCAATCACGATAATATTACCGCGACTCAATGCAAAGTCAATGATAACTAGACGTGATTTCTCATGTCAGCCAATCTGCCAAGTGTCAAATTTGACGTTAGTACCTTTTTAAAAATCAAAATATTGACCAATGCATACAACATGTAACGTAGGTAATTATCGCGCACCCTCAAACACCCCAATTAGAATATTATGTTATAATCATAATACATACACTAAATATTTAATTTAACATGTATATGCATCCTTACCGTTCTTGTCATAAGGTTTATTTTTCTTTATTTTGTATTGAATGATAGAATTTGTATGAATACAAACAAAACTGCGATATTAAAAGTCTTATTGCTTTGACTTACGAGTTACGGTCCATTTCGATTTGTTTTAACAATACAGGGTTAATGTGACAATAATTTCCGTAGTTTTAATTATTTTTGGGATAAAAAATTACCTATACCTATTAAAAATTATATAAATCGATTCAGTTAACGATTCTACTAGAACTATTTTCAGAATGTGCGTTATTTAAGTTAAATGTTGTATATATAACAATAAGCGATAATTGTTCATTACAAATACGAACATTCTAACAGTTCGACTTCCAAAAAGCACAAGTTCTGATGTGATCAAACTAATATTATATGCATATAAAATTAAAATATCGACATAAATAACTTACTGAACAAAATAATAAAAACTACCAATAAATCAAATTAACATAGGTACCCAATTCCAGATATTACCTAGTGTGTGTCCACAAAATATACAAACTTATTATTTTCTGTGACGTTTACTTATCACCCTATGTTTATTTTATTGAACAACATTTGTTTGACCACTGACGTATATCGGATCGGGTAATGGGGTAATTGAACATTCATGTATGTACTTCCATATATTGTTGTTTGGAACTTCAAAAATAAAAAAGAGGTCTTCAGTTTGACCTATATGTATTTATGTATGTATGTATGTACGATTGGCTAAACCGAATTTGATGTTGTTTTCAGAAAAGTGTATAATGTAATTAAATTATATAAATTATTATAAAATAATGTTAACTTTGTTTGGATGTTTGTCCGTCAATCACACTAAAACTACTGAACGGATTTTGATGAAATGTAGTATAGGTACGGGCAGGGTATGGGCTGACTTAGGTGATACGATACTTTTTAACCCAATAAAATGTTCCCATGGAATAAAACAAAAATCATATTATACACGGACGCAGTCGCGGGTAACAGCTAGAAATAAATAATTTCTGTCCCTGGTTTGAGAATAGTAAGGTAGGCAGAAATTATATTAAGTTATTGTTACGATTACGTTCCGGACACTATTCATCAGCGAAATTTGGGTTTGTAATGAAAAAAATAACCTCACCCAATTGTATGACGTGCAATGTTATAGAAGACGTTCAACATCTACTGATGGATTGCGTCAGGAATCAAAGTCAACGGAACGATCTGGTCAATGAATTCCACCTAATATACAAGAGGTAGGGTTGATACAATCTATTTTAGCTCAGCCAAATTCTGAATTAGCAAAACGATTGTGTGTGTGAGTTGATGTATTTCGTTGACTAAGACTAAGTTCATTAGGAACTTTCATGTTTAATTTTAAGGTTTTGTTTATCTTGTTTATATAATGGTTGTAGGTAGTATTAGGTACGATGGGGTTGGCGTATCCTCATGGATAAAATCCCTGTATTAATTACATGTAGAATAAAAAAAAAAAAATTTCTGTGACGTGTAGCATTCTGGTAGAAAGGGTTTGAACTAAAGAACTTTTTGAAATAGACTTGAGTTCATAATGCTTTCAGTTTTTTACAATCAATTTAGAAGTTGAACAATTTCAAGACGTTGAATGAAATTAACTTTGGAAGCTTGTAAAGATTTTTTATAAAACATTTCTATCAAACAAAGATATATTTAGATTTAAAATACTTCAGATAATACAACAAAAATATTATAAGCCAAGTGACTCCCACAAAATAAGATTACGTTACAGTTACGATAAATTTTGGGTACATTATTTTATTTCAATAGAAAAATCAATGTAACCAACCGCGAAATTCGGGACGAAGCGTTTATGAGTAAGACCTAGCTAATAACCTCCTAAAACACTGAAAAAAGTATGTCGACCCAAGCACCAAACACCCTGTATATTACTGTAAGTAGGTACATGGTTTATAAATGTGTAACCTATTACAATTCGCAGAACATAATATAGGCTACATTAAAAGGCGCTAATATTAAAAAAAAATGATAGTGGGATACAACATATAAATTATTTATTAGACAAGTAAACAAATAGGAGTGATGTAGAAAACACGTATTAATGCTCTGGGAACCACAATACATAACCTATCTTGTTATGGACATGTAATCATATTCATATCACAGGAACCTTATAATATACCTACCCATATATTTATTTATATGCCATCGTGATATAAGTTCGTCAAGAAAATCAGGAAATGTAGTAAACATGCAGGCTAAAACACAGCCAGTATGGCACACAGACAACTGCCCCGCTCTCGGCCATCGCTCCCACCTCCGCAGTGTTCTCGTGCAACAGCTCGCACCACCGACGGCGCAAGTAACGAGCGCTCCCTCGCAGGCGGCAGTAGCGGACTCGCAGCAGACCGGCGGCCGCTGCATGTGGCAGGCAGGCGGCGCGCCCGCGGACGAGCGCGGCCGCTGCGGGCACCGCGCCATGGAGGCCGGCGCCGGCGTGGCCAGCGTGGCCTCGCTCACCATGGACTGCGAGGACATGTTCAAAGAGATCACCAAGAAGCTCTACGGCGAGGAGACCAGTGTGGGCGTGGGCGTGGTGGGCGTCGAGTTCCCGGCCGCCGAGCGCGACCTGGACGACGAGCTGCGTCCCGAGGAACACATTACGGCCTGGGGACTGGCCGCGCTCATGCAGAACGGGTTCCCACCGCCCGGCATACTGCAGGCACGCACCTCAATGTTGTTTATATACTTGCTAATGTTGCATGGTAGCCAAACAAGCTAGTGGAAACAACATTTAACAAACTGTTGCCCTACGCTAAGCTTTCTCCTGTGTCTTGGGTACGTTTGCAAACACATAATGTCACATACCTAACAGCCGCGCCGGTTGGCCAGCCACCGCGCCGCACCCTGCAGGAAATTAAAATATCCTGGCTCCTATTTACAGTTATTAAGGACACAACTGAACCTGTTAACTAAATAACTACCCCAGATAACAGAATTGAATAAGTACCTAATTTGAGCGCATTTTGCAACAAATATAATAACGTCACTTGAACGTGACCATCAACAGCAGGTCTCTGTGTTGCAGGCGAACTTCAGCCCTCGCATCGACCCGAGCGCCGAGGACCGGTGGACGGCGGCGGAGGAGCCGCTGGCGTGGGCGCACTCGCGCATCGCGTCCTACAACCCGGCGCAGCGCCTGTTCAAGTGCGCCGACTGCGAGTGCGTGGGCTTCCTGGCGCGCGTGGCCGAGCACTGGCTGGGCACGCACTCGCAGGCGCGCGCCTTCACCTGTCCGCTGGCGGGCTGCGGCTTCGCGTCGGGCTGGGCGCGGGGCGTGCGCTCGCACCTGGCGCGCGACCACCACTCCGACCCCGCGGCCGCCGACCATCTGCTGCGCGACAACCCCGCGCTCGACGACCTCACGCGCTACCTGCAGCGCCTCAAGAACAAGGTCCGCGCCCGCGCGACTCGCACTACTCACGGCCGCTGTTCACACTGCTCACTCAGCTGTTCCCTGCAGGTGGAAGCGATGCGCAACGAGCGTCGGCCGAGCACCGGCGACGCAGGCGTGGGCGAAGTGGCGGGCGGCGGGGGCGCTGGCGCAGCGGAGCCAGGCAAGCGGTACGTGTGCGGTGCCTGTCCGTACGCTACTGACCGGCGCGACCTGTTTACGCGCCACGAGAACATCCACCGCGACGAGAAGCCATTCCACTGTTACTTGTGCCAGAAGCAGTTCAATAGAGCCGATCATGTCAAAAAACACTTCCTACGCATGCATCGTGACCAGCCATATGACTTGAACAGAATCCGCCGCTCATCTTCGATCGTGAAGCCGAGCACAGCACCGCCAGCGTTGCATTACTACGGCAAGCCGGCAGGGGAACCACCACCCGCCGCGGCTCCGGTGCCTGCCCCCGCGCCCCCGCCACCTCCCGAGCCCCCGCCCGCCGAGTACCGGCCGGCGCCCACCGTCAAGATAGAGCGACCTCCACTTGGCAAGGCGGAGACTGGCGCAGCGCTTCATAAGCCCGGCGCCTCTACGCCTGCAGCCGCGGCTGCAGCCGCCATTCGTCGCAAGGTCTATGATATTTCTTCTTCCCCTTAGTCATTCTCTTATCAAAGTGAAACTAAACCAAGTGATAGTGGTCGCGGTCTTCACTTCGGCAGCTGGTGGCAAGCTTTCACTATTCTTTCCATCAATTCTTTCGCACTGCAGTCTGCTTGTGTATTCGTGAAGTGAAACCTTATCAACTTATTTATTTATTAAGATATATATTGGGGATATTTTCAGTCGGACCGTCAATTATAACATTCATCGCTTATGTATAAACGACGGAAAGTAGCAGGGCATGTACCTAACCTACACAATCACGATTAGCGTAAAACAGCATACTTAGACGCGTTGAGTTACAGGGCGAGCGGCGCTACGCGTGCTGCTACTGCGCGTGGTCGGGAGTGGACAACTGGTGCCTGAAGCGGCACCTCAACACGCACCTCAAGCCGTTCGCGTGCGCGCTGTGCGAGTACAAGGCGGCGCGCGCCGAGCGCCTCGCCACGCACGTGCACAAGGTGCACAACAAGAAGGCGTGCGCCAAGTGTCCCTTCCTGGCCGACGACCAGCACCAGCTGGCACACCACCTGCGCGACGCCCAGTCAGTACCTGCCGTTTCCTCCGCCGCAGTGCGGAGTATCACCGCATACTGACCGAACACTAATCGTACTTTCTTCTTACAGTCACATCGAGAGTCGTAATCTGAAGGTTCCATCCGGAGTTGGGCGCGCGGGCGGGGCCGGGGGTGCCGGGGGCGCAGCTGCACCGGATCCGACGGCCGGGGGCGCGGGAGTCGTGAGTGGCGCGGGGCGACGGCGGGAGGCGCGCGCGGCGGGTGCGGCACGTCTCTTCGGCTACCTGGAAGCGTCCGACGGATCGGGCGACGAGTACGAACCGCCCGTTCTGGCGCCAGAATTTGCAGCAGCGCCGGCGCCTCCCGCGCCCCACTACACCCGCGACAAGGAGAACGCGGCGCCCCTGCACCACGGGCTGCACCATGACCACTGCCTGCGCTACTAGCAGACGGGGGCGCGGCGAGCGGGGCCGGGCGCCGCCCCGCCCGCCGCCGCCGCCGACGACGAGTCCTGGCTGAGGAGACTGCTTACTGCCTGACGTGCTGACGCGTCATGACGTCCCTGGTCAGCTCCGGCCGCAGCGCGTAGCGCTTAGCGGAGATACGACATTCGACACTATACTTATTTGCCATAGTTACATCTGATTGGCATACGATAAAATTAGTAGCTAACTGTTAAATATATTAAATAATTTTAATATCTAAATGCTTGTTCGATGATAATATGTACAAAATACCTACTTATTAATAAAGTTATGCATCCCACCGATGATAGTTCTTGTTTTGTGAGCCCAACTCAAATGAATGAAATTTGTATAATTATTTACATACCAAGGTAGGTACTTCGTCGTTCGCTTCCCTATTGGCAGGTAGGGTGGCCAGTACGAACCATAGAATATTTTTTTTAAGGGGAGAATATCATCGAATGTCTGCTCCCGTCTGGGTGCAGTGCACTCCGTTCCTACTCCTGCGCTTCGAGCCGGAGCCCCGGTAACCCGTTAGGTTCTCCGCGACATTCTTGTAGGCGTAGACTAAATATTATAATATTAGCTTTTACCCGCGGTTTTTCCAGGACTCAAACTACCTTCATACCAAATTTCCTCAAAATCCGTTAAGCTGTTTAGGCATGAAAGAACAACATACAGAAGGAGTTATTTTCGCATTACCACAAATACCACCCTCCCATTTCAATACTCAAGACTTCACGTAACGAATATACAGCTACTGTATGAATATCAATCAACCTAAACAATGAACAAAGAAAAAACAATAACTACATAACATCATAACATCACGCCTTTTATCCCCGAAGGGGTAGGCAGAGGTGCACATTATACCACTGTGCAATGTAACACCCACTTTTCAATATTTATGTTATGAGTCCCATGTAATAGGGGGTGAGCCTATTGCCATATACCGGGCACAATTCCAGACTCCGTGCTACTATTGAGAATTATTTAAAAACCCAGTAATACTTTGCCCGACCCGGGAATCGAACCCGAGACCCGAGACCGAGAAAAACAATAACTACTTTAGACAATAATTATCCTAACGCCATCTATCGAGCGTTGGAACAACAGCGTACAATTTATTTGCTAATTGTTGAGTATTGTTGACGCTGTGATTTCGTGTACTTTTAACAACCTAAAATCTATAAAATATACAATTTAAATGTAAAATGGTAGGAACCAAAATTTAAAAGCGAAAAATACTTAATGAGTGAACATACTAATTTTTGGGTTGCTATACTGATATTTTTTAAATTTGCCGGGCTTTTTCAGTCTCTACTTTCGTTTGCCAGACTTTAAACATGTTACCAAGTTTTTTAAAACACCATGCGCCATCTATCGCTAAGTAGCATAACTATTACATAGATACCAATAATTCGTTGACTTATAAAACAGCAAATAAATGAATCAAAAAGTGCACCGAATACCTATTCCTTTATAATATCCTTTATAGTCGATAAGTGATTCGAATAAGTGTAGGTAGCGCTATAGATTTAAGCGTGAGATTTCCAATTAGTTGGTAATTCGTTGACTTCTTTTAAATGACATACAGCGCCATGTATCCAATGCACACAGCGCCATCTATACCAATATTTTTGTTTTCCCACAGGAATATAAAGTTTTTCTGATATAATAATTATTTAATCCAGACTTCTAACTTTTCTTCTGCAAAATTTCAAAGCAATCGGTTTAGTAGTTACGGCGTGAAAGCGGAACAAACAAATCACTTTCCAGTTTATAATATTGTAGTAAGGATTAAATAGATAGAAACACACATAGATTGGAATGGAAACAACACAAACAAAAATTAAAACTAAATTATCTAAATTTGCATAGGTCCCTCAGAGAAATAAAGAAAACAACAGACCTCAAAACAGCATTGGCACCATGATTACTTGTAACAATTAGATGTACCTACTTATTAGATCTAACAGTTTGGAGTATACAACAAAGTATCCGACCGACGACAGAAACAAAAATAAACATTTTGGGTATTTTTTTATTTCAATAAGGACAAATCATTTGTGACCAACCGTGCTATTTTGGGACGAAGGGTTCAGTGGTAAAAGACAGGTAATAATCCAGATCCCTGAATAAATGTGTCGATGTCCATGAGACGAAGACCCAGAATATAGAATAAAATCAGGCGTTACTTTGTGGAAATTCATGCTACACTAACAACTGAATATATTTAGTTTTTATTCCGCTAAAGGAATGAATTTGCATCTTGTAATATGCAGAACCGCCTTCCTGATACACACCCACATGACACGCAACAAACCACTCCGTCACACTCGACATAATGTTGCGTTCCTCCACGGAGCATCTTTAGGAGTTGTTGACTCGACGGCTTGTCGTAGCTTAAATGAATTCCAGTCCGGTAAATCACCTCTTTATTTAGATGAAGACCTACCGGAAGTCACGCTCAGTAGTGGGGATGAGACTAGATTTGTTTGATCATTCAACATCGGGTGCATATTATAATAATTTTTAATAATAATTTATTTATTTATTCAGATAATACAATCCATATGGTTAGTAAAGATATCTACAACTTAAAAACTAGTATTAGTACATCACCCCTCTTCATATAAAATTAAAATAATTTGTCATAAGTAATATAATGATGATAATATAGTAACAATACTGCTGACTTTCACTACTTCTGGGCACGGTTTGTAGGCAACACTTGCGTCTTCGTCCAGTGTTTTAGCATAAGGCCATCAGTCCTATCCGCCACGGTCATCAGAAGACTGTTGGCGCTGCCCCGCACCCGCTGCATCAGGGAGGCGACACGCTTTCTTATGATTGCGTAGATATCATCTATTATTGTTGTTTTACATATATTTCTATCTGGTCCAACACACATAACCGAAAGGTTCTACTACAGAATATGCAAATATTTTAACGATTGTTATCGCTCAAAGTCAAGGAATGACCGGAATCAATTATATGGTTGGCAAAACGTGACTTGTCTGGATGGACATTCCTGTACCTAGTCGCAAGATTGCCGCGTGTCTGACCCACGTAGATCCCATTACAGTCGTTTTTAAATTAATTTGCAATGAAGCTATACCGCACAGAAACAGATAGTTATTTATGTATAGCCCAAGTATAAGCTCTTGATATAGGTACCTACGTTCTACCTCGCACACCGAGACTGTGGAATGAACTGTAGCCTGCTGTATTTCCTATGGGCTAAGACCTAACTCAAAAAGAGCACGTCGTGCATCCTTCTCCATAGGCGGTAGTGATCGCTTTTCATCATCTGCTCATTTGATCTTTATGTGCCGATGTTATTTGCCCCGTAAGCGTAATAAATGCAATGAACCTACCCTATACGACTTCTTTGTATTGACATGCATCGTTTCATTTGATACCTACGTAGGTACAGTTCCTTTGATCATCTTCCAGCTCTATCATCGAACCCTAGTTGCCACATGTTTGGAGGTAAGCCGGTCCAGCTCCACAGGATAACAGAATAATCATGTGGCGGAGAATAAACCATTTTGAGGACCTTTAGAAGGGTAAAGATTCACAAGATGTTTTTTTTACATAATATAGTAATTATTTGTGTGAAAACCGGTATTTCAAACTAATCCGTCTGCCCAAATTATCGGACTATGATTACTTACTCTAGTTTTTATATCGTATTCTAAAAAAGATACAGTCGAATTGAGAACCTCCTTTTTTCTGAAGCCGGTTGATTCTTCAGGGTGACTTGTAACTCGACGTATTCCTCTAGGGAGGTGATATGATAATACAACTAATTTCCTATAAAATCAGCCCTTAGGACCCCAGTCCGAAAATGGCTAGTTTTTGTGATATTCGTCATTTTTGGTTTTGGTCAAAAAATCCCGTACTAACTAGAAAACATACATAAATAAAAAAGTACTAGTTTGATTTAAGTGATATTAGTTTCCATTTGTTGTCAATACATCAATAAATATTTATTAGTACATCATTATTCACTACAATTGGTTCAGAGACCTTCTCTATGCTGACGCCCGCACATTATCTCTTGTGATGGTCATTCTTGAACTGAATAAGCATTCTATTTCTTCAGCCGCTTAAAACGGTTGGTATTTCTGCCAAGTGCCAGTATTAGTATTAATAAATGTTTATTGATATCCGGTGGAAAAGGTATTCTGCCAGCGGCTTCGCCCGCGTTCCCAGCGGTAAAAATTCTATGTATTACTCCAGACCTACCTTTGTTCCAAATTTGTCCCGCTCCCTTCAGCCGTTTTGATGTGACTGAGTAACAAACATAAACCCAAATATTTTCACATTTATAATATCGGTTCAAGCTAATTTCAACCATCGCTTCGGCTCTACAGATCACAGTCCACTCCGGGCAACCTCACATTCGACAAACTTATATTTGCGTTCGGTACAGTGACTGTGTCTACGGATTCAACCGCATAATTAAGTTTGGTTTTTCGTGTATACGTATACTTTTTCGGATAAGATATTAAAGAAGTTTAATTGTAATCGAACCAGTAGTTTAAACATACATACAGACAGACAAATTTTTTGTTTCTGTGTCTATCTAGTAACACCCCAGGAGGTCTTTTTCAATCACGTTTTCTTCCCGTTCTTCTGTTTGTTAATTTAACGTAAACGGTTTGTCAGCAGGAAGGCCGGCAGGAAGGCCGGCCGGGGGCCAGTAATAACAGAAGTAGTACGTAATACTGGTTTATTGAGTAAGAGGTTACATAAGGTAGATACAACACAGTCGACTGAGTATATGTATAATGCGTCGGGGAGGACGGCGGCTATAGCTGCGGACGAGGCGGACCACCGCGCCACGTTTAGCCTCTTTCGACGACTTAAAATTATTTCAAAAAATACGCACTTAATATCTAAATCTATAGCACATTAAAATCTGCCGTTCGTTAAAGCTTCGGGCCGGGGACCGACCGTGTTCCTCCGCGACGCGTATAAAAAATAATTACAAACAGAGCAAGATCCGCCGGCCGCCTAGCTGGCGGGATTGGGCGGGGCGGGCGCGGTCCCGCCGACTGCCTAGCTGGCGGGGTCAAGTGGGACGGGCGCGGCCCCGCCGGCCGCCTAGCTGGCGGGGTCAAGTGGGGCGGGCGCGGCCCCGCCGTCCGCCTAGCTGGCGGGGTCGGACGGGGGCGGGCGCGGCGCGTGCACCGGGTGCGGCGTGGGCCGGCGAAGCAGCGCGGGCTTGGCGGCCAGCGCCGGCTTCAACGAGCCCCCCGTCAGCGTCAGCTCC